GGGAAACTGAAAAGTCTTTTGAATGAGTTTACACTTTTACATACAGTCGCTTTGTTTGTTCCGCACTTACACTTTGGCTCGAGTACAATCTGAAGCAGTGAACTAGTGAGAGACATAACACTGTAATGACTGCGTAGTAGTAGTGCTGGCATTTCCTGTATTTGTGCTAGTTTAACTCACTGGTGCCTTCAGCTCTGTCTCTGTACTGCTGTAGACAGATTTTACCTTTGATATCCATTCACTAAGATTTGTCTCGTGTGTTTATAACCCCTCAAGTAAATTAAAATAATTTTCTACTGTAACTGTGCTCTGTTTTATTCAGTTATTATTTATTGTTAAATGATAAAACAGCTGCAGCTTAAACACAACACTGTACAATTATGCACAATTATCAGTTATTATCACACCGATAATTATACTTAAGTGGGGGCAAACTGCACCTAATTGTGGGCCAGAAGGTGCAAATCATTGACTGGAGCTGTTATTTGGCCAACTCTAGTGGCTGTTGTAGTTGTGACAGAAGCAGCAGTCACTGTTGTTGACATTGTATAAATAGCACAGGCTGATGTTTGCATTCACAGATGTTCAAGGGGAAAATAAACAAAGACATTTTTGAGTTACTTTAACTGAAACAACCAAACCAAATTGTCCTTTGTGCCTGGACACGTTTATTATTACAAACAAGACAACAAAGGTCTAGTGCGTGATAATGGCCTACTGAGCTGATTAGGAGGTGGAGTAGGGCCCTGCTAACCCACATCTATATTCCCAATTATAAACAGGCAGTGAAACTTCAGATTGTGGTCCCCAGACGGTGGCAGCAAGCCCTGGATCTGACACAACCACCTTCAGCCCGTTGTTTTCTCTGCTACACAATAAATATCAAGATCTTACAGACAGATTAAGGTTGAAATTTCCTAAAGATACTTCCTTCTCCCAGAGGATGAACCATTTAGGTTTTGATGCCCCTATAACCTTTTCTTTAGCGCCACACTCAGGAGAAACCTTGTAAATTTATAAATAAAGGGCTTTACAAAAGTCAAAAAGTAATTACAGGGGAATAACAATATTTTTAACAAAATAATGCAATAACAGTGCAGACAAAACAAATTCAGAAAATTCTAGTCTAAAATAATGTAACTCCATTGGAGTCTGAACTTTTAGGTGCTCAGCCTGCAGCTGAGGTGCAAACAAACATCAGTAATTTGGGTTTACAAGGTTTTCAGGCAGGAACTATAAAACATGTTTTATTACACAGCTGTAATGAAGCTGATCGTGTGCTTGCTGTTAATAAAAGCCACAGTGGCATTGAGCTGAACTCCTCTGTATGATGTTACCACCTCCCAGCTGACCCTGGAAGCTTTTACTCTTCTAATTTTAGTCTGAAGGCTCAGGGGCGTCTGGCCACTGACCTGCTCCCCTTTTTTAAGACTTATGGATTTTTACCAGCACCCTCACTTTGCCGAGAACAGTAAATCAGAGTGAAGGGGTGCAGACCAGATGGAGCCTCTGCAGCTTCAGAAGCAAAGTCCATGTAACAGAAGGACTGTGTAAGAGAAACATCTAAAAACTGAGCAGGTAGTTTGGCATCACCTGCAGCCACAAAGTGCAGCTCCTTATTTCTGGTCACCTTCTCATATAGGCAGGTTTTCATGCCTTTCAAGATGCAGTGGTCAGAAGTTTGGCTCTGAGGTGTTTGTTGTACCATTTACTTCAACAGGTACTTGAGGGATTTAATTCTGATTCATGCTCAGAATGAACACGGTAAAATAAAACTGATACCCAAGAAGAAAATCGTTCTTGTGAAATGACTAAAACATAAGAGATTTCAGATATTTTGATAGGTGATGTTAAAAAGTTAGTGGCAGTAAATAAGTCGACCTTTTACAATAATGTGCATTTACTGTAGGTATGAATGTTTTAAAATATGGTCAGATCTTCATGTAAGTTGTAATAATGGACAAAGTTGGTGTTGATCTTGTTTATATTGAACACCTCCCTCAAACATCCACAGTGTAGGTTAGAAAAAGGGTGTAAATGGCTCATGACATCAACCAAATATACCATTTATAAACGTGCGGTCCAGTCACTGAGGCTGTTACAAAGTCCTGTTAGAGAGCTGAGCTCTTCATCAGGACACAAACTGTCTAGAAATGCAGACGATTTCATTCTGTGGCTTCTCTCCCCAGAAGTGGGCATCCGGCTAAGAGGACTCCAGTCAATCTGCTACTGAATGAGCTCGGACGAAGGACGTCCTCCTTGTGCAGGGGTCCAGGCCTTAACCCTACACTGGTCCAGAACCTTGTGCAGGTCTGACCCACAGACACGGGATGAGCTGCTCTGAGGTTTCACCTGTTATTTTAATCCAAGGGCTCGCTTACTTTATCCACCAGCGCTGTGGAGGTTTAATGGGTGTGTTCAACAACAGGTCGAGATTTTACAGTAACTGTTTGTGGGAGATGATCTTAAGCACGGTGACTGTCTCTGCATGTGACTTAGATGAAGATCAGATCACATTTTAAGACCAATTAATGCAGAAAACCTAGAACATAATGTAATCTACATATAGGAATATGTAAAAACAAGTACAATTTAAATAATATATAATTAAATGCTACATGTACTTTGATAAGGTTTGTGGTTAAAGGATTAATTTTGAGTGAAAATGTCCAACAAACAATAAAAATTGGTTTGCTACTGAATTCTCACAGCATGACAATAAGATGGAAGTGACAGCAGCGCCCCCATTCTTAACCACATGTCGGTAAAAACCAAGTCTGAGAGAAGGAGCAACATTATATTTGTTAAAGGAGCTTAAACAGCAGTGCAGCTAAAATGTGACTTTTCAATTTGTTTCCTGTTCAGTTGTGTTTCTTGTGCAGAAGCATTTCCCTGATGGACATGTCAGGGGATCACCAGGAGCTTTAGGATTCATCTCCTGGGTCCATGAACACATCTCATGAAGAATCAGACCAGCGGTTCTTGAGTTGTCAGAACTTAGGTTCTGATGTTGGAAAATCTAAATCAGGCTGCTGAGAGATTTCACACTGGATTAAAGTGTTGGACTGCCTGATATCTCCCTGTTTAGACTAAACTGTAGCTGTTACCTTATGGCATTACATTTAGAGTGGTGATATGTGACCTCTCAGTCGGGGTGAATCAGAGCACAGCACAGACAAGCTTATAGTTCGCAGGCTGGGCCACTTTGTCTTTCCACATAAATACACAAATAGATGTTTATATATCTGCTGAGGGGTGAGAGGGAATGCAGAGCATCTGACCTCGTGACATCACAGCCCACTGACACAGGTTCATGTACTCCAACCCAAGAATTTAAAATAATGGATAAACGAGCTTGGAGAAATGTAGTAGACCTGTTCTGATTGCCCAGAAAGGGTCCTCCTTTAAAAACAGCCCTGCACATTTTTCTAATCAGTTAAAATAAGTTGATGACTGTCCCCAAGGTTTAGGTTGCAAATAAATGATTTCTGACATCATTCAACAGAGTGTTTAATACCCTGGGTTTACTATGTGTGTCACCTCAGTGAAATGTAGGCCAGAGCTGGCTGCTGCCCCACCCCCCTCCCTGACACATGAGCGCTATCTCCTCCTTTTAAGGTCCTGCGAGGCTCAGCATTTGGAGCGCCTTCAGGATGCAGGTTCAAAAGAGGAAAGGGTAATAATAGCTGCGTAATGCAAACCAAGCTACTCCACAATGGCCTCCTTAAGTACATTAATTCACCCCAAAAATCTGTTTACCTGCAGTGAAGTTATAAGACTTGACACAAACTTGGCACAGTTTAGATGGAAAAAGGACTCACCAGGTGAGAGCTTGCTGCTGATGTTCAAAGCGCTCCAGGTAGGTTCCCCTGGACAGAGCAGGAGACAACATCGATTCAAAGTCAGTTTGACATGTCAGACCTAAAAAGGGTGACCGTGTTACACAACAGGAAGATTACAACTCAAAGTGTGATCATCAGTCACTCCTGACTCATTGCAACCAGGACAGATGAATGCCAGCCCTGCTGGTGCTTTCATGTTGCACTGGGGACCAAAAAAAAAAACCTCTCTGAGCTCCAAACACTCTTCAGACCTCTGGCTACTAAGGTGGGGGCCCTGCATTCGACAGCCTGCCTCACTAATGCTGTTACCAGCTTCCCTGTCTGAGGATTAAAAGGTGTAATTGTGCTGTGTGTACCTGTGCGACTGCTGCTCCGGGGGCGGCCGGCCGGCTGCTGTTTGCTTGTCCCATTCTGGAGTGTCAGAGCTGCAGGCTCGTGTTGAGCCCAGACTGACCCCCCTTCCTACAAATGGAAGGAACAGACGCCATGGCAGTCCAAAAATAAACCCAGAGTCCTGTGAGCTGATCAGAGTGACAGCAGCGTCGCTGGGACTTTGCAGGCCATGGGACTGTAGGTTTCACCAGCTCAGAGCACTAAAAGTGGGGTTGGAGGACCACCTGAGGGTCCTTTGTAGATGTACTGGGGAACTGGCATGGGCCTCAACAGTATGTTCAGAAAATCGTTTCATTTCACCTCACTGTAAAAATCATCTTCACTTAGTGGTGAAATCGGGGATTTTTGTGTGGTTTCTCAGAACCTGTCCAGGTGCAGACCAGGCTGTGGAGCTGCTTCTCCTTGGTGTAAAATAAAGCCAGGATAGAAACGACACAGGGTTTGTACTGTAATTGTCAACTGTTAGAGAGCCACCTGTGGCACCTGTTATGTGAACAGTGATGTACTGTATGTCTTCCAGGACAAACTCTCTGTCAACATACGCCCATGTCCCTTTGCTGTCGGTCACGGCAGGCTTTTCACCTTCATGTGTGGCTGTTCAGCTCCGGTGTAAAACCTTGATTTCAAACCTGCTCATAGGGTGTGATGGGACTTGATGAGGTTCTGTGGTGTTCTAGGCACAAACAGGGGTTCTGGGAGGCTGAGATTAGAGTTGGGGCTGATGGTCATAGTTCCGAGGATTGTTTGGTTCTCTGCGATCTTGGGGTTGTTCTGGGGGGGTAAAGGGGACCAGGATAGTGGTTAGGGTCCTTCATGGAGTTTCAAGGATTTGAGTGAGTTATACTCGATCAGGACCTGTAGTTTGACTCATTGTTCTACCATGGTGAAAATAAAATGCGATAATAGGTTTTTGAATGGCTACAGTGGATGTGGTGTGAAAAGTTACAGGAGGGAGATGCAGTGTTGTTCAAACACGATGATAGCAGTGGACGTTCTCAGACAGTGTCACCTGGAACACCTTCATAGTGTTACACTCGGTGGATGTGAAAAGTGACAGACAGTACGTGTGTAACAAATGGACAGAGAGCCAGGAGAGGAATGAAACGCTGGGCTACCTTTTTAGCCCCACACAGACAACCGCTGTGTGCAAAGTCAGGGTCAATGTCACATCGTTGGTTTTGGAGGGTTGAACAACTCGTAACCTCCCTTATCCCATATGTTGGCCTGCTGCTTCAGAAGCACACTGGCTGCTGCACGGTCCCATCTGAGGCTGCAGCGGCGTCACTGGTGTGCTCCTAAAGGTAAAGGTGCTAAACAGCTCCACATGTGCCCGGGGTTAAAAGTTCATGAATGGGCCACATCAACAAGCCGTGATCAATAAAGACTCTTATACCTGACTTGGCATTAACAATAAGAAGAAGAAATAATGTGGAAGTGTCAGAAAACCAAACAAACATTTGCAGTTTGATGCAATTAACCTGAAATGTAATGGATATTATTTTGCCAGTGATCATATTATAGCTCGCCTAATGTAATCATACAGTTGTTTGTATCAAGTGACCAAGTCCCTTAGGGGGGTTCCATGGATTCTTCTAGACTTTCAAGGGCTCTGTACCCCCCAGAGTGTTATAACCACTTACGAGGATGCAACAGGTTTTACACAGTGTGTGATATCACAGAGAAACCAGCTTTATGAGGGGTGGTTTTGGTATCTCAGGTACATCTGAGAGGATTCCAGGAGTGTCTTCAGGCCTTGAGCTCATGTTTCCAGGAGCATTTTTAACGGTGTTTATCTGATCCTTGAAAGTAGTTGTAGAGTGACCAAAGTACTGAGGGGGTTCCTGTCAGGCCAGTCAAAATAAAGCCCAATGTCGCATCATAGATTTGACTCAAGGGGATTTACATACAAAAAATATATCTGTCCTTAGACCCTTGATCAGAAGAGAAAAATGAAATGTAATTATTGATGTGCAGGACAAGGACTAGGCTGGGGGCCCATGATGCTCTGAGCTGCTCTCCTCCTGCAGTCCTTTGGTTCTATGGGTCTTGGGGGTTTGTGTGCTCAAGGGGGAGGGAGGATTTGTCTGTGGGTTCCAAGGGTTCCTGAAGACTGATATCCTTCCTTTCCCTGTGGAGCAAAATAGCTAGTTTTTTGTTTGACACAGCGGCCACAGGGTGCAGGCCAGTTAAACTGTTAATTATCACCAACAAACTCAAACAGGAAGTTCATGGTCTTATGTTTGTCTGTCTGTGTCTCTGTATATGAGACACTACTACTGTGCATGTGGCTGAGCCAGAGTCTCTGCTCTAATTGTTGTCACTGTAGCGCCCCCTGCAGGGAATGTGAAGCTGGTTCAGGCTCCTGAGACAGTGATGCTCACAGAAGGCAGGCAGCGGCTGAGTGTCTGCAGCTGGTTTAGGCTTCGAGCTGACCTGAAGGCATTAGCACCAGATCTGATCCTGCAGAGGATTTCTATCAGTCTGATATTTAAATGCACTACAGCCCAATGCAAGCTGACTTGCAAGAAGACAAACTACACTGTCATCATGTATTCTAAAGGGCAAATGGAAAGTACAGACATATAGCATATGCTTCATGTTACCCACCTGAACGATGACGGATCACAGTGGGAGGAGCTGCCAAACACATTCAGCTTAAATGAACTTTTAAATGAGCTTCCTCTCATTTGAGCACATTTTCCATTAATGTTTTGAACCGATGAACTATACACTGACCTTTGTGTGTTATCTCCTTAACCATGTAATCGTGTTTTCTGTGAGTGTTAAGGACCTGCATTGAGTCAAAGGTGTGATTTTTGGAGATGCTGCCTTTGTCTTGGTTCAATTAAACCAGGAAGTCAGAGAAAACAACAGGATGGTTGAGTATTTACACTTTGAACAGATTTTTCAGGTGCTGCCCCACACACCACCTGCCTCTCCTCCATGACGCCCGCCTCTCCTCCGCTCTCAGATGAAGTTTACTTGCCTAATGCAGCAGCCCCAGAATAGCAACCTGGGAGCATCTTAGCTGCCCCTTTATCCAAACTTGAGCTTCCCCTCTTAGTATTTGACCCTTCCATCTCCTTATTGAGTGCCAACAGGCGGAGGCAGCCCAGGATGCGGACCCTGCCCCACCTCAGGCCTGGCCTCGCCTCCAGGCCAGCTCCCCTGGCCAATGGGGAGCCCGAGCGGATCGAGTGTCACTATAACAGAAGGACATAATCAGCGCGGTAAGTTTGCAGAACCTTACAGCCTGTCTTGGCCAGCGGGAGCTCGCTTCTGTCAGCTTTTCTGAGGTAAGGAAGAGGAGAGAGAGTGACTGAGAGTGCGAGTGGTAGAGAGATGTCATTTCCCCAAAGATCAGCCAAAGTGAGAACAGCTGAGTTCACGTGATAAAATCACTGCCACAATTAGCAGAGGCTGTGCTGGGGCCACGGCCGAGGACAGGTCGGTGATCGGACAGACGGTGGGTCCCTGAGGAAACAGGCCTCACTGTGAAGCCTGACACACTTGTGTTTGGGCTCAGTGGCAAGGAAATCTAGTTTGTTGGTGCTTGACAGCAGTGGATTCTGACACCTTGCTGAAGTGGGAAACTGGATTCCAGTGAAGCATGTAGCAAATCTTCAGCTGAGGTTAAACTTTTAGAAGCTCTGGGGTTCTTTCAGGAGATGCAGATATTTTCTTAAAGAACGTTGTTGTTGTTTGTGTGCCTGTTTGGTCTGAGTCCAGTGACCCAGCAGAGAGTCATACCTGAAGGATTTGCAGATGGCTTAAAGCCTTTGAAGCAGCTTTCCACTTGAGGAGACAGAAGATGATACTAATGAGTTATGTAACATGATGAGCGCAGCGGCGTCGTGTTCTGGTGTTACTGTGGATGTTTGACATCGGTGACATTGCTCTGAGTTTCTCTGGATTGCAGCTTTTCTCAGCTTGTAATTTGGTGTGTTTGTTGATGTCAGCTGGTGAAGCTGTAAATGTGTGTGGCTATGTGTATTTGTGCATGTTACAGTGCGCATAGCTGAGGATAAGCACCTTGAACATCCTGATCAGGATCCAGGAAGCTCCAGACTGGATGTACAGGAATCTTCTAACTGTGGAGTGGTTTTCCTGTCACTAATGTTGCATAAAGGCATCAACTCTGACAGAATGGTTTTAGTTTTGGCATTTATCAGGTTCAGAAAACAAAAAGAAGGAAGCCAGGCATTAGGGCTTTAGGCTTCACGGCTCCCTGTCAGGGTTTATTTTAATTCTGTGTGAAGTGGCCTCAGTCAGCAGGGAGCCTCGCGAAGATGATTGAAGGAACCATGTGAGAGCAGGATGGCTAGAAAAGGAAATGAAGGAAGAATTATGGCAGTGGTCCAGCTGAAGGAACCCAATCTTCAGCCCTTGGTCCACTGAAACCAGATCTGGACCTATGCAGCTGTCTATTGGAAATAGGTGGCCTCACGCTAATGAAGCTAGTGGGAAACTAATCTGAAATCTGATCGGGGCTAGGCTGCATTTTGAATAAATTCAGGTCATGTGTGTTTGTCATTGGGGGTTTAGATCAGATTCTGCTTCACTCTGGGATTTAACAGCTGAATGGTTTTAGATGTGGGAGAATTTGCTAGAAGATGTTTAGAAACATATAGCTTTGACTTTTAAAGACTTCATTCTCCTTCAGAGGGTGACCTTTAGCACGACCCCAGGAGGCTTCTTTTTTTTTTCCTCTATCCACGTCATTAATCACATCTCTGTGCAGGTGAAAACAGACGTTGGCCTAAATCTATGTTTGGCTCCTTCTCACTTATCAGCAGAGAAGCAGATTCAGGACTGAGGCTTGAATTTCAGTACAGAGTGTGATGCTAATTAAAGATGTTTGTGTCAGACAGATTTTAGGAATGTTTCAGGTTCAAGATCCTCATAACATATTTAACATGGGACTAAATAAATTTCCATAAGAGTTGGGTTTTTTTTTTTAGTAAAATATGTGAAAGCAGACAGGTGGGGTTTGGTCAGGGTGGGGTCGACAGCAGTTATTTGGAACATTTGCAACTTCAGTCAGTGCTATAAATACAGCAGGCCGTTCAGTTGCTCCTTGCGCACAGACTTGAAGCCCCCTTCTTCTTTTGTCTCCAGGTTGCAAAGTCCACTGTCACCATGTCTGACACAGATGACATGTAAGTCGATTCACCTTCTCATTCACAGACTGACAAGATGTTCTTAACTTGTCTGCAGTGTTGGGGAAGCTACTCTGAAAGCACAGCTTTATAGCTGCCAACTAAGAAGGCAGTTTCAGTAGTTAACTGCACAAATCAATCTGCAAATATGAATGTAGATGAAGTACCAGCAAGCTACTGCAAAATTCAGTAGTTAATTCCATGTATTTCACTGCTCCCCAACACTAGTGGTTTAAGCTCTGGAAAATACTAGAGTTCACCTTTTGTCAGTATTATTTTTGTCAAAAATAATGCCTTTGCCTCTAAGTTTCCCTCTGATCTTCTGTCTTGCAGCGAACATGTTGAGGGTAAGTAGCACCGTTTCCTTCTTTTAAAAACATGAATTCTACAAAAACTAGGTCTAGGTACAGTCTGGAAATCTGTGCTAAATCCCTGTTCTGAATCTTGCCTAACTGACTTTCCATCCTCTTAGAGAAAGAGAGTAGAGAGTTTGCACTGGACAAATTCGTATGTTTGCAAGTTTGGCTTGACTCCTCCAGATGTGACTTGTGCAACTCTCTCTTTTAAGTAGATCTGCTCGTGTTATTTTCTCCGCTGTGGCACGGCTGCAGGAGCCAACGCTGCCAACAGGCCAGCGTCAGATATGCTGCATGAAATTTAAAATTTCAACTTCTAAAATCTAAACGGCACAAGCCTGCCCTGGCCTGTTGGCAGCGTGTCCTGCAGCTCTGCATGTCCACCTGCACTTGTGCAGTCCTCCTGAGCTGAGCTGAAACACACAGTGAAGTTTGAGGTTCAGAGCTCCTCCTTCAAACTGCGGGCTCTGATCAGCCCAGGAGGACTGTGGTTTTTATGCTGAGCTTAGATCCCCATTGTACCCACATTTTGCATTAGTGTTCTATCAAAACTGGGTACAAATGGGATCTTTTGATCATGTTCTTCTGCTCCTTTCTTTCTCGGATGGGCGTGAAGAATACGATGGTAAGACACAGCCTGCAGATTCTAAGTTTCACGCCACCGATACTAATTTGTCAGTCACTGCTGAAGACGTGTGTTCTTACCTCCACTGTTCTTTTTGTGGCATGTTCTAATGTTATTACAAATGAATGCAAAGTCACAGGTTAAAAAGACTGTCAGGTTAGAACGGTTCTCCTTTTTTCTCTGATTTCACCTAGTTGCACTGCAGGTATTACCAAGAATCAATCAATCAATCCAATCGCTGACCTTGTCCCTCTTGTAGTTGCTTACTGGCTCACCAGCTTTAGCGCCATCTGGTGGCAGTGACCCCAAACTGCCATGCCGTGACCCTCCTCAGATCTAATGCCATGGTTTTCACCTGCTCACCCACAGCGCCTCCAAATGCTTCCCTTTAACCCTTTCACTGCCCTTCCTCCCCCCTGGTGACTCGCTGCATGTTGTGTAGTTGCAGAAGAGGTGGTAGATGTGGCCCTTGAGCCAGAACCAGAACCAGCGGTAGAACCTGCTAATGCTAACATCACAACATGACTAATGTTTGACAGCCAATATTTTTATACTGGAGCTCGTGTGTCTAAGCTAACATGTTAGCATAGGCTACAGGAAAGAGTCAGAGCTATTAGTACCTACATTTATAAATCTAAAGGTTTTTAGAAATGCAGGGTTTAATCTGGAATTTATAGATTATCACCTTCTGATAACAAATGTCTGTTGTCCAGACATAAATTTACTAGCTAATGTAACTACCCTTATAGTGCATGTAAAGGAAACAAATTACTTTCCAAATATCAAGAAATGTCAGTCTTGGTCCTCAATGAAACCTCGGCACCCTGCACATAAAGAAGGTGCTAGTTAACGATTAGCCACGTATCCTCCCAAAGTATGAAATCCTGGTGTTCACACTGATCCAAACTGCAGACGTAGGACATTTCATAAAAGATTATTAGAGGGCTTAAATTCTAAAACAAACAAATACTGGCCTCTTTGTCTCACCTTACTTTTACTACTATACCACATGTACGTTAAGTACTTGGTGTACATGGTTGCTTTTTCTTTTTGATATTTGATGGAGGTAAACAGATTAAATAAAACTATTAATTAAAATGTGTTTCAGCATTTATCTAATAAACTGTGGAAGTTTAAGCATATGTGCTGGTGTGAACGTCCTCTGAGTTGGCGTTGGTGTCGTCACAAAATTCAAATGAAAACTAGGCCAGGACAGTGGCCTGAGTGAAGCTCATTTTCTGCCAGAAACTCGAAACCTTCAGACTTTTAAACCTTTTATTGATCTCAGCTGCAATGGGCTTGTATTAAAAACAGCTCTTTATCTGAAAAAAAAAGAAATAAGTGTATAAAAAGCATTTTGTCATATTTTAGTAAAAAAAAAAAAACTTGTCACTGGCGCTTCCCCACATTTTTAAAATGATCTCAGAGCACTTTTCAAGAAGTAATGCTATGAGAATGTACGTTATTCTGATTTTATCATGCTATCCGTAGTACAGGGAATTCAGCTCACCTGTTCCTACCTGGTTTGTCATTAACCTTTGAGACTGCTATTATTGTAGAGTTCACAGCAATAAAAGTTCCTCTCGGTGTCTGAGTGAGTAGAGAAGCTGCAGTAGGTTGTCCAACCTAGTTCCTACAGTTTGCTGCCTGCTAACGCTGCTGTCTGTTCTGCTTCTGTTTTTGATGCTTGCTAAATGCAGAGGGCCTTGAAGAGGAAGGTATGTTGATTTCAAAATTCTGACCCATCTGAAATCTGTCATTCTGGTTTTGGAAGCACCACAGAGTCCAGGTCTGCCGTCTGTACTTTTCACAAAGTGTCTGTCCAAGTTTGAGCTGTCAAAGCCCAGGAGCACCAAGAAACAAAAACACTAATTGCTTATTGAGTTTCGAGATCAGTTAAGCGTGCTGATGGAGAAGAAAGGTGAATGAATAAGAGATGCTAACACGTGCTTCACTGAGCAGCAGCCCCACTGCTACACGCTTGCTGTGCCACTTATCACGTGCATGGCCTGGAGCTACCAGAGTCTGGGTTCAAGAAAAGAAGGGAACAGAGGTGTGACTCTTTTCTTTGTCGACAGTGATTTTTGGGGTCAAGCCGAAAAAAAGAAACTTAGTGTAACTAGAATTATAACTTGTAGTGATTTTATAGACAAATGAAAAAGCAACAGGCTCGAGCTTTATGAGAAAATAGATTTTGAATAACAAATGGTGGAAAGTAAGTACATGTACTCAAGTGCTGTACTTAAGAACAATTCCGAGGTATCTGTACTGAGTATTTCCACGTCCTACTCCTTCATACTGTGACTCCATGTCAGGGGCAAACCGTGTACTTTTTACTGCACTACATGTACCTGATAACTTCAGGTCCTTTCCAGAATCAGATGAATCAAACCAAACCCAGTAGAACCATCAGACTCCATTGATCCCAGTGGAAAATCCACCAGCTACCCAGCAGGATGTAAAGTACTTCACAGTATAAGTATGTAAGGTAGTTACCATCAGCTCCACCTTTACCAGCTGCAGCATTAAACTGATGGACACAGTAATTAGTCACTATGATCCAGTATCAGAGACATTACTGGGACATGGACCGTTCTGCAGGACGAGTACTGGTACTGATGGTACTTCTAGTTTATTTTGATAATACGTTTGTACTTTTATTTAAGTAACATTGTGAATGCAGGACTTTTCCTGATATGTGAAGTTTTGCATTTGTTTGCCCTTATTTACCTGTTGTTCTAACCCTTATTGGAAAACTGACGAACAAGGCTATAATTTTGATTTTGCATTTTAATCTAATCATATAGATTACATCGTTTAATCCATGTACTGAGATCATCTGCTCTGTTTCTAACACACTACTTGTCCCCTCTTCATGTCTTAACCTGCAGAGGGGAAGCCAAAGTTCAAGTAAGTTCTGACGTCAAATGGCTTTTGTAGACATGTTGACTTGATCCGTCAGGTTGAATAAAACAAACTATAGCAGCATTACATCCAGTGATGTGCCGGTAAACTCTGCCGCAGGCCCACCGTTCCAAGAATCCCTGACGGTGAGAAAGTGGACTTTGATGTGAGTATCCTCGAAGCGACAACAGGAAGGATTTCTGTTTGTCTGTAACGTTTCTCCGCGTAGCTGAGTGTCGCTTCTGTCCCTCGGCCCTGCAGGACATCCAGAAGAAACGTCAGAATAAGGATCTGGTCGAGCTGCAGTCACTGATCGATGCGCACTTCGAGTGCAGGAAGAAAGAGGAGGAGGAGCTGATCGCTCTCAAGGAGAGGATTGTGAGTTTTCAGCCAAAGCAAACACGAGAACACCTGGGGCACTGTAAAAAGACTGAGGACCTGCAGTATTAACGGGTTCTACAGACCAAACCTGCAGAACCAGCCCGCAGTCATTTGAATTGGTAAAACCTATTTAAAAATACAAACCTACAGAGGAAAAGATTTTGAAAGGACACCAGTCGTTTCATATCTTAACTGGACATTAGTTTTCCCAATGTACACAACCAGTATGTGCACTAGAAATAAGTCTAGTGGCAGATTATACGTTGCACTGCTCATTGTTACAGCTGCGCCAACGGGAAGCTCTAGTTTTATGCGCAAAAGAGAAACATGAAAAAAGCTGTAATTGAAAGATTTATTTCACTCTGCTCAAGCTTATTTTAGTTGCTTGAATGCATTTTTGTGCTCACTCTTGTTCAAAGATAAATAAATAAGTAGAACTCCACCGATTTCCATCTGAATAACCACATAAAAGCTTTTTTTTTAAATCAGCAGACTCCGTTTGGGCCCGGTCATTTCCGGCCTTAATCTTAGACACGTGGGCCTTCAGACTGGTAAAACCTGGAGTTTTATTTCTCCATATTCATACTTTAAGTGAGGGTTTCCTTGTGAGATTTATTGTACTGCAGAAAAATGCCTAAATATATTTGCATCAGAAAATGCAAGTTTGGTGTAATGAGGAAAGCACCCAGAAAATTAGCTGGAAGGAAAAACCAGAAAAGAGCGAGACGCAGACGAACTCATCGCTATAACAGCCTGTATGTCTCCTGTCGGGCTGAGTCTGGTGCCTGACGACGTGTTTGCTGTGTCCTGCAGGAGAAGCGTCGCGCCGAGAGGACCGAGCAGCAGAGGATCCGCGCCGAGAAGGACAAGGAGCGCCAGGCCAGACGTGAGGTTCGTGCTCTCATCACGTTTTACTGATTGTTTTGGCTTCTTTAACCATCAAAATATGACTTTTAAGTCCATGGATGGATTATGAGAAGATGAGGCCCTGGGCCCAGATGTTTAAGAGCCCCCAACCCCTCTTCCAATCATTTTACTCCTGCATGTGGTTTCATTGACCAGTCACATCAAACAGAGGCTCGGCTCCAGGGGCCCCTGTTTATCAGTCCAGCCTCGCTGAACCAGGATGTTTAACTTTAGTTCATGCTAGTCATGAAGTGACAACAGGGGTCACCAATAGGTATTTGTGTTTTTCAAACTTATTTTTAAAACTTCAGTTAAATATCCTATGTCCTTTTTTGCGGGAAGCTCTGATGTTGGTCAGACTCATCCAGCCACCTCCTGTTGTCACTTTCTCCCTTCAGTGACTGCATCAGCTACTGTCCCGTTGAAAGCTCCAGCCCTACCAGACAGACTGTGGGTCTGTGCATGTGCTAAACTGCTGCTAAGAACGTGCAGATTTGTAGCACAACTCTAGCCCGGACAAGGCTTAACGCTGTTCTCTGCTTAATCCCAGAGGTTCCTGTTTAGTGTCTGTATGAGATGGGAACGGTTTGTTACAGGGCATCAGTATGTGATGGGCTGGAGTGGTGGATGTGGCTCGGAGGTCTCACTCTCATGTTTGTTGTGAACCAGGAGGAGAGGCGGAGCAGGGAGGAAGCTGATGCCAAGAAGAAGGCAGACGAAGAGGCCAAGAAGAAGTCAGCTCTGGCCAGCATGGGCGCCACCTACAGCAGCCACCTGCAGAGAGTCCGTACTAACACTGACAGAAATCCTCCTACAACGGTACAAGCAGCTTGTTTTCTGGATTGTTGACTGTATGTATCTGCACTGGACAGGCTGACCAGAAGAGAGGAGGAAAGAAAGAGACTGAGAGAGAGAAGAAGAAGAAGATCCTGGCCGCCAGACGCAAGCCACTCAGCATCGACCACCTGAACGAAGACAAGCTGAGGTACGACCCGACGCCAAGGCTTGAACGTTTCTCACAAGTCGCATCTTGTATTGTCAGGGTCATGGGGAATGTAACCAAGTACATTTACTCTGTTGTACTTCTACTCCACTACAGTTCAGAGGGAAATGCTGTAGTTTTTACTCCAGTACAAATATTTGACAGTTTTTTAAATAAAGCATGTGAGCTTGTAAAATATGTTGCTCATACTATAGAGACCACTACTCACCATTATGTAAAAGGAGAGCTGGAATAGTTAGTGGACTGATCAATTTATTGATAAGTAGTTCCAAAGTCAGTTCAGGTACAGGAGCAGAACTCTTTGTCAGTTGAACCGACTCTTTCTCCCGTGTGCGTGTGTGTGCTGGTGTTTCCTGCAGGGACAAGATCAACGAATTCCACGACTGGATGCGCCAGCTGGAGTCTGAGAAGTTCGACCACATGGAGAGACTGAAGAAGCAGAAGTACGAGGTGAGACTCCGCTGCTGCATTTGAGCTCCTCAGCCACGGAGTCGGGTGTTGTACACATTTTATACACGTTGCCGTTTTTAGAGAAGTGGAAGGTGTGAAAAACATCCAGATTTTAGCATGAGAAAGCCTGGGACCTAAAGCCAGGATTGTGTATTAACCAATTTTTTGCAGGTTGTGTCTGAATATAAGACAAGTTCCCAGAGTTTATGGAGATCTGACAAATGATTTATGTCTGAAAAATCATAAGTGAAGTAGAGTCAGATCCAGAGTTTGACCTCTGTGCAACAGTTCAGATGTTAATCCACAGCTCTGTCTGTGGTTCCTACCTTGTCCTTCTGTTTCTTTTTAATGTCTTTAACCTTATGGTGTTTTGTCTTAATGATATTAAACTGACTGTCATAGCGAATAGTGGCAAATGTCAGGGGCAAGCACCACAAACCAAAAGGTCTACCAAACAAACCAGCTGCATTGTTTTTGATGACGCTGATGTCTTGAGGTGAGCGTCAGCTGAACGCCCCGTCACCTCCATGTGCTCTTTGATTCCCCCCAGATCACCACCCTGCGTAAGAGAGTGGAGGAGCTCAGTAAATTGTAAGTAGAGCCGAGCAGGCGTCAGGCTCGTTGCATGGTGTCGTGGTGGCATGTTAGCATGAAGGAAGGCACCAGTGGTTGGACCATCAATATGTTGTGGGGGCCTTATGAGTTACAAAAAAATCATTGTTTTTCTTCTTAATTAATGATTTGCTGTTGTAGATTAACCTGTGAAAGTTTAAATTTGACAAATCAAATCACAGCAAGAAGGTTCCAGGTTCGAGCCCGGTTTGACCCGAGGCCTTTCTGTGTGGAGTCTGCATGTTCTCTCCATGTGCTCCGGCTTCCTCCCACAGTCCAGATTCATGCAGCTTAGGTTGACTGGTGACTCTACATTATCCCTAAGCCCGTGTGTGGTGGGTTGTCTACAAGCACTGTGACAGACTGGTGACCTGTCCAGGGTGGACCTCACCTCTCTCCCGGTGTCAGCTGGGACTGGCTCCAGCCTCCAGACTGTGTTCAGGAATAAGTGGTGTAGATAACAGATGGTGTAAAGAAATGTGCAATACAGGACCAGACTTTCAGACTTTTACACCATAAGACATATTGAAAATATTCTTAATGCAAGTTGAAATAAATATGTTCATGACGATTAACATCTCTATATTTTTACCTTTATCAGTAGTGGTTTCAGCTGTGGTATGACAGTGGAAGAGTGGGCTATGCAAGGGAAGTTCACATAACACATCTGTTTGCCCTGTGCCCCAGTAGAGTTTTATATCTAGCAGTGTCCCCAGTGAGGAGTCTTCCCTGGATGAGTCCTTTTCAACATTTAACAACCAAAATGTAGCTATAACCCAGAATGCTGCATCCTTTCATACTGACCCTGTCATTTCACTGTGTGACGTCCATCGCAGCAGTGACTGTAAAGGGATTCACATGAATCACTGCTTGTTCAGTCTGTGCAGGTCAGCGTGGCGTAATGTTACAGGAAATGATGTGCTTCTGCATGTAAATCCTTCTTGAAACTTAACGTATGGATAACACACGTCATTTTAGCCTAGAGGTTGTTTTTTATATTGTTTTCTCCACAAGAAACATGCTGTTCCATTTAATAAAGACTTTCCTATTTGATTGCTGCAGGGTAATGCCAGTCATTTGAAATGGTCCTTAGCTACATGAGCTATCCCAAAGTCTGATGAAAGCACACACCCAGAGACTTTTTAAACCCTCACACTAAATGGTGTTTATCTCTGGAGTTCTTGCCTCTGACATCTTTAAAAACCTACATCTTCCCCAGGGATCTTGGGCGACATGCTAATGCAAAGAGCAAGATATCTCCTACAGTTTAAATGTTGTCAGATCCAGACTGGCTGTACAGTCCTTGTTATTTCTATACGGCCTTCACTGGGGGGAGAACACCTCTGGTGCTTGACTACTGCCGAGGAGCCTTTGAGCAAAGGCACCACTGCAGCCCATTGCCTGGCTAGAAAGATGAGTTTGTGTGAGGATCCATCAGCTGCATCTTGTGGGAACAAAGGTTTTAAATGGTTTAAAATAATAACAACCCAGTTTTGTGACATTTCCCATTTTTCGTATTGCAGCAGCAAGAAGGGCGCCGCCCGCCGCAGAAAGTAGGGCGGCTCTTCCCGCCACTGCTCTGAAACCAAACTGCAATGAAGTTGGACATACGCCTGATGAAGCAACGCGCACAACGGCAAAGGCCATAGCTCAGACGAAGCGAGTGACGCTGAGGTTTACCCTGTGGTTCCCAACCCCTGACACATGCAACCCGGAGCCTTTAGCTGGAGTTCAGTAGGAAGAGAAGCTACAATCCTGTTCGCCATCAGGCTTCCTCCCCTTGACTGTTTGGTTCTCGGCTTTTTTGTAAATAAAGTGACTCTTCAAGCCTTGTCTGTAGATCTGTTGTTATTCAGAAATCAATAAAGCTCAATATTTTTAGCTGTGTAATTTTACAGTCATTTGTTCACCACTGTCTACAAACTGCAGAGCTGAATCTAACTTTGTCATCCATCTGCAGGACACCAGGCTCTGCGTTTTCACCACAATCTAAGAGGAGCACAGCATCTAAAAGACTCTGGAGTGTGGTACAACTTCACTGGACATACCACACTCTTCAGAGCTTTTAGAAGATGTCTGGTTTTTATGTTACTGAAACGTTAAACCAGTCATTTAGTTAGGTTCTAAACAGATTTCACTTTATTTTCAGTTTTAGCAAGTTGTCCAGAGACATTTACTGACAAAATACAAACCAGATAATAGTGTAACAAGTTGTCTCACCACCGTTCTCCAGAGACGTTCTCCCCACCCTTCAGGCATTTTGACTCAGATGGTCCACAAGGCCCTGAATGAGACAAAACAATGTTGGACATGAAAATAACTAAAAACAAATGCAAACAGATTTGAAAAGAAAAAACTAAAACTAAATAGGTCATAAAAACACACACACACATAAACCGACCACAAAACAACAGTAAATCAATACTGTGATTACAAATTAAGCAAGAAGATCCAAAACCACCACACAGGGACTGGGACCATCAATTTCATGTCCTCAGAGATGTCAGGGTTGTGTGTTTGTGTGTGTGTGTTTTGTGTGTTAGCATTTTAGCATCTGTGCTCTGGGGCCACGTGCGTCGTGGTCCGTCCATGATAGAGATTCACAGCTCTGGATCTCAGCGGATCCCCAGAATACAGACCATATGGAGTTAAACAGCACCGAACTGGTCATAATGGAATGACTGGGTTCTGCAGAGGAGGATGGGAGGGAGGGGGAGCA